GCCATTCTTTTGGGCATTTAATATTTGCATAGTGAATCCATATTTCATCACTGGTGACAATTCTGTCCAAAGATGGTTCACGCGCATTACGCGCCAGAAGAGACGAAGCAACGTTCACACGTTGGAAACGATGTTCATCGGAGAGTTCTTGAGGCCCCCAAACACCTTCTTTATGAAGTTTTCCCATATTCCTTAGATGTTTACATATTGTTTCATGAGAGACATGCAATTTCAGGAACATTTCACGAGTGTTGCCTTGGGTTAGAGTCAACAAGCGTCTTCAGAGCATCAATATCAATTCCAGTATGTCGGCCCCTGCCATCACAGTTTTTAAGGTTAAAGTCACCTGAATGAAATTCGCTGAACCATTGTTGACATTTAAGAATGTTCAAAACATTTCTATAAACTTCTTTGATATTCTTTGTGGCTACAGAGGCATTGTTTCCCTTCATGTATTCAAACAGTATTACATACCGAATGTGTGTCTCGTTGTGTGGCATCACTATAAGAGATTAGAGTATACTAAACTTTACATATTTTACAGGCTACACTAACATGAGGTTTAGGCAGTTTGTTTATCTAATGTACGTGATGTTCGTTTTTTTGAGGGGTGGTTAATGAAAGTGTTCCAAAAGTGATATTCTTTGTGGCTACAGAGACATTGTTTCCCTTCATGTATTCAAACAGTATTACATACCGAATGTGTGTCTCGTTGTGTGGCATCACTATAAGAGATTAGAGTATACTAAACTTTACATATTTTACAGGCTACACTAACATGAGGTTTAGGCAGTTTGTTTATCTAATGTATGTGATGTTCGTTTTTTTGAGGGGTGGTTAGTGAAAGTGTTCCAAAACGCGATATTAATTTCTTGTACAACCTATTACATTCATAACACTAGGACAATACATTATTTGATTAAATTAAATATCCTTGAGTTATATAGGCAGTTTGCATGATCAAACTACATCTTACAAATTCAGTAGCATGTTTATTAACATTTTTCTTTTTTTGCCTACTTAAGCTATCTCTATACAAAGAATATTTATTGAATTAAAGCTACTAAATTTCTTTAATTACCATTACTTTATGCATAAGAAGTTGCTTTGAAAAATTTACTTTCATAATAACTACATTCTAGCCATGCTGATCACATTACAATTACATTTCATTCTTAGCTATGTATACAAAATCTCAATGAGTGTTCATTTGAGTGAAAGTTTTAAAGTTATGAAAGAACTTTCAGATAAATAAACATTTGCATCATTCTAGCATTTCAACGAGGTGATCCAAAACAACTGATTTTCCCTACAGACTGGCAAGGCCGAATATGTGGTGTAGGAAAAATGTCGTAAGTGTAATTTCCTGATTTTTTTTTAAATGCTTTTTGTTTCTACTTGAAGGTTATGTTGTCATTTTCAAAATTTAACAATAAAAGAAATATATCTAGTGTAGTATTTTCAGATAGCACTGCTCTCCCCTAAGAGTGACCAGATAGGTGCACTGAATAAAAGAAGATTTGTCAGTTATTTAACATGAAATAATTCTGTATTCTCTAACTAACTGAGCTTGTTAGAAATATAGAGAGAATGAATCCTAATAATCTTTATTCAAACAACACAGTGGCAATGTACTTTACTTAACACCTTTACTTGAGAGTTAGCTCTGAAGTTGTTTCTAGCTTACTAATTATACCAGACTGACACTGAGATCTTGTTCCAGAATGAATAAATCTTGTGTTACTTACTTAACTCATTGTTAGACTTACTCTGAGTGACTAGTGATTGGTCATTCCCAGTGAAATGTAAGGGAGATCATTATCCCCATGAGATCAATCAGCTGAAAATGAAAAAGGCAACTATCTAACTTCATTTACCTTAGGTAACCTTGCAGCTATCTTTACCATGGGAAAACAAAATATTGCTATTCTAGGTGAATGATAAAAGATTATAGGTAGCTAAAGCAAAAGTAACTTAATGACCTTCTTGACCAACATGTTATGTGGAAATTACACTAATAAATTTTGGAAGATTTCTTTATTAATAGAAAAAGGTAGAAAACACATGGTATCCTCCTATATACCATACAAATAACAATGGAAAGCAAGTAAATTAATAAGTCAGAGATGGTTTATGGTAATGTGATTAAATTAATAAAAATTGTTAAAATATGTATGTGATATATAATTAAATGTGACAGTTGGTGAAAGTACACTGCCAATATACTTCCAACATATTTCCAAAGTTCTATATCTTGTATGCAAGTTATTTTATTCTTACTGGATACATATGAAAATGTTCATTGAGTATTGACAAAACTTTAGGTCACCAGTGATAGTAAAGCAGAAATCTATACAAAAGTTTAACCATAGTTAATTATATGTATGTATTTCGGTAGTATTAAACTTGTTGGTTTGGCACTGTTGACTTCTGTTCCATGCTTGTGATTGATCAAACTACATACTATTCATAAAATATTCATTAATTAAAAAATAAGTAAAACAGCTGTTAAACTTTCAAAGTAATTTCTATTTTAGCTGTGTGGAATGAAATCTTTTAACTATAAGAATATTTTCTCTCAGAGGTTTCAGCAAGAAATTGTTAATAAATAAATTTTTTTTTCAAGTATAGGCTGAAAATCATTTTTCCTGCACTGTATTAGTCATTAAAAGACTTTTTTTATTTAGTGTACAATAAAGTACTATTATGTTAAAGGTTATGTAGCACAATACACATGTAAAGTGCTTGTAAAGGTAGTTGAAATTTATAAAATCTCATAGGACATCATCTTCATTTCATTTTCTGTTGGTGATATTAAACTGTGAACATTAGTTATTGGAAATACCAAAAAATATTACTATTTAAGCCATTGAAGTTTAATTCATTTTTATTCTAGGAAAATGTTAGTTTTTATTATTATTATTAATTTATTTAGAGGTTTGACATTTGTTTTGACTGTACATATGATTATTTTGTGGTTTATTTATCAAATACTTGTATCATTAAAATAGTGGGAAGCCCTACCTCTATTTCTTTGACTTGACAAAGTGTATTGGTTTTGCTTCAGTTTTAATGAGTGGCTGTCCAACACCTCAAGTAAGTAATATCAATAGATTCTTTTAAATCTTATCATTAGTGGTGATTGTGATTCAGTAATTTAAAAAAAGTATTAACTATATATGTAAAATGGTTGGTAATGGACACATAAAGGTTTCTCAAAGACAAAGAATGTTTTGGTGAATTTCTCCCATAACACCCGATAACTGATGCTTATTCCAAAAAAGTTTACTGAGTACAAGAACAAATCTAGAAATATTTACCATAATACCTTAAGAGAACTACATTTTTTTCTTCTTGTATTCATGTTTGGGTGAACTACAAATTGTGGTTGGAATATGTTTTTTATTATAAAATTATTAATCAAAGACTACCAGATGATTAAGGAAAATCTTTGTCCTTATACTATGATGTTTAATTTGGAATGTTATACTGTACAGAAACTTGTTCTTACTTTTTGATACAAATCTGAAGCTTTTTTAAGCACTAATGTCTTTTTCTTCAGAATTTCTTGTAGTCTGATAACACTAATTCTGGACAATAGGATAACAGAAGATTTTCTGGAAAGAAAGCCAAGTGAGAATTAGAATTTGATTCCACACACTTCTGCAAAGCTTTTCTCAGGCTTATATGTAACTCCATAGTTCAAAGACAAAATACGATATCAGGTGGTTTGACAAATATATCTGAATTTGGAGGGTTATATCTCCATGACTAAAAAAGTGCATTAGAGATTTGCGTAATGCACTCTTAATATTTTATACAGAACTAAAATTGACATAAGTGCCACAGACTCAAAATACTGCAGTAAATCAATCTTAAGAAGTTGGTAAAATCATGTATAAAAAGGTACCTTTTGTCATGATTGGCTGTTAATTAATAATCCAGTGATGCACAAACATGGGCCATACAAAAACGGTTTTCACTGTCAAGTTATAGAATAATAATATTATATGATAACAATAAATGAAAAATTACAAGAAAAATTCTATTTTATTTGCTAAATCAGTATTGTTAACCACAAATTAAGATCTGATATTAAAGTAATTCAGTTTTATGCAAAGTTTTGAACTTATGGCTTTGATTTATGTATTTTTGGTAAATTAGAAAAAATATCAAACACAATGATATTGACACTTGAAACTCTAATAAACTGTGATTGTATACCCTGTATTAGGTGTGTACCAGTAAATGTCCCAACCGGACCTTTACCTCATTGATAGCAATAGATGAAACAAGCATCAAGAATGAAATGATATGCATAGATGATTCTCAAAAAGAGGAACAGGTATAAATCTTCATTTATCTTATTATATTAGTGCATCCATTATTAAATTTATTGTACTGTTATTTTTATTATTTAAACTGTGTGGAGATACTATGCTGAAACAAGTTATTACAGGTATGAAGTATTTGCTACAACAGAATTTAAGTGCTATATGTCTGCAATATAGCAGGTTTCAGAAATATAAAGAAGAGAGTAATGTTTCCAATGCAGACAGCAAAGAAAACACAAATACACAATTGTGAATGAATAAATCAAGTCTTTATTCACAAACAGTATTGGTCACCAACTGGCTGGCTTCTCTTTGTTTCACCTCAAAGTGGCTGCTGGGACTGGAACTCAGTTTTCCCAAAATGTCTGTACAGGACAATGAACCAAATGAGGCCAGTGAGTAAATCCTACTGCAGCTTACATAATCTGTAGATTAACCTACCTCAAAAATTCTAAATAATATATACAAGGAAGAGAACCTCCAACTGATACGAATTTCAAATTAAGGGTGGGAAAACTGTTATGATAGGAGTAGGGCCTTTGAAGGATGACGCTGAAAGGCTAATATCTGATGATTATGGGGATGGTCGAGTTATTAAATTCTTCTTTTTTTTTCAGTTTTTACTAAGTATGATTTAAGCAAAATTTCTCAATCTGAACTGTAGCTACATGGAAACAAAGTTGATCAAGATGATCCATTAATTCTGAGGCTGTTAAGAAAAAAATTGGAAATTTTAAAGAATGATAAAGCATCTAGGCCATGTAATATTTAACCAAGGGTTTTGAAAGAGGTTAAGGATTGGATATGTGAGCCAATTGCTATTATTTTTTTCTAAGTCCTTAAATAGTGGGCAGGTGCCAGAAGATTGGAAGTTGGCTAACATTACTCATCATTTCAAAGCAGGTTATAAAAATTGTCCCATAATTATAGGCCTAATATTATTACATCAGTGGTGAGGAAAGTTTTTAAAAGTCTGGTAAAAGACACTTTGCAAAGTCATTTAACAAAGTTTAAAAAGTTTGATAGATAATCAGCATGGTTTCAATATGGGGAAATTTTGCCTTATTAATCTTTTTACATTCTTTGAAGAGGTTACTGCTTACTTAGATGAGGGTACAGGTGTGGATGTGATATATCTGGATTTTCAGAAAGCACGTGACAAGATGCCATGTAAAGGGCTTAATAAAATAGTTACCGTTCTGTGTGTGGTGGTTAGGTTAACTCATTGGATAGAAAAACTGACTAGATGGAAGGAAAAAAAGAGGGTTGTTATAAATGGAGTTCAGTCAAATTAAATTAAAGTTAAAAGTGTGGTACCTTAGAGATCAGTTTTAGAACGTTTTGCTCTTTTTGATGTACTTTAATGACACAATGAATGGTCAATAGATTATTTAAATTTGCTGAGTACGTTAAAGTTTTGGCATGGCTGGTTGTGAGGAGGAGGAGGATGCTGCTTTATAAAATGATTTGAATTATTTGGTGAGTTGAGCAAATAAATGGCAGATGGCTTTTAATTATAGTAAGTGCAAGGTATTACATGTGGGTTATCATAATTTGAATTATAAGTATAATTTTGATGGGACTAAACTTAACAGTGTTACGGAAAAATAGATCTTGGTGTTCTGGTTGATCAGTCTCTTAGGCCATCCAAGCCAGTGCTATTGCTAGTGGCAGGGCAAATAGGACTTCAGGTTGTATTTACAGAAATACTGAATACAAGTCTAAAGAGGTTGTAATGTTATTGCATAGCTTATTGGTTAGGCCACATTTGGAGTGTTGTGGTCAGTCTTGGGCTCTTTACCTTGAGATAAAAACATTTTCATATGAAGATAGGTTAAGTTTTCTAAACTAATTTTATCTGAAAAAAGAAGAGTTAGATGTGATCACCTTTTTCTTATTTAATGGTGAGAATAGTGAGACTAGGGGACATAAGCATAAATTTTGGTAGGGAAGAAGTCAACTTCAGCCAAAACAGCTTTATTTTTCTGACATAGTGGTTGGCCTGTGGAATGAGTTGCCTTTGCATTTGGTAGATGCAGTTAATTTAAGGGAAAGCTTGATAATTATTTGAATGATAAGGGCTTGTTTTGAGGTTTTTTTTAAAGAGTTTAATTTAGTGAACAGGATGGCCTAAATGAACCAAAAAATCCTGTGCTGTTCTTTAATGTTATATTTATGTACTATGGGATAGCTATTGCTGCACATAACTCTTACCTAAGATAAAGGATTAATACATGTTTACAACCTTTTGAAATCTGGTTTGCAAGGATGTGATTAACTAACACGTGCAGAACACTTGCAGAAAAATTATCTGAACAGATATTTGCTTGTTAATGAAGAGTGAGATGATGTTATTTCAATGTTTAAACTCTTCTTTTCCATATCTTAGGATCTTTCCATTAAAATTAAACATCAATGATCAAATTGAAGATCAGTTAACAATATATAGTATGCAGGAACTGTCTTCCTCAGGTATCAACAGTATGCCAGACATCTACATGAAAACAACAAAAGGTTAATACAAAAGCTTCGACAACCAGTCAGAAAAGAGAACTCTTTAAAAAAAAATCAAAATACAATAAGCAAAATGAAATTAAAATCCAAATAAAAAAACACATTGTTACATATAACAAAAATACAGGATGAAATAACAATGTGCTCCCTCCATTCACTTTATTTGATTGTTTGTTTTGAATTTTGTGCAAAGCTCCACAAGGGCTATCTGTGCTAGCCATCCCTAATTTTATAGTGGTATACTAGAGGAAAGGCAGCTAGTCAACACCACCCACTGCCAACTGTTGGGCTACTCTTTTACTAACGAATAGTGAGATTGACAGCCACATTATAATATCCCATGGCTGAAAGTTCGAGCATGTTTTGGTGATGGGGATTTGAATCTGCGACCCTCAGATTGTAAGTAAAGCACCCTAACTGCTAGATCATGCCAGGCCCACTTTATTTAATAAGATCCTCAGATTACACTATATTTCAAGAGAGAATGGTACTCAAGGCAAGGAGAACTACAGCATATATAGTTGTGATGGATAGATAATTAGTACAGTGTCAACTTGAAACTTCGTTGTCAAAGATATATTAGAGTATATTACATTCTGACCTTTATAATACATAGGACAGTCAGTATCTGCATAAATAACTTTATTCACAATGACAAAAACTTTATGCATAGTTCTTAAGCAAATAAGACCTATTCAACTGCAACTTCCTTCTTTCCACCATAAGTTCTGTGTCTGGCCTCAGAAGTGTCCTTCCACATTCACAATTGACAATCATTACTCCACAAAAGACTTAAGTAAAAAAGAATCAATTTAAGATTAAGCTCCACAATAACCAGATCCTCTGGCTATCACAACAAATGTAATTTGATAATTAGTCTGAAGTATTCAAGTTCACTGAAATTCAAAGTTAGTTTGTAAGTATCTGCATTACATCAGTTTTTGGAAGTGTTACGAAGAGTAATATTCTAAACACAGACAGCACAGGGAACACAAATACATAATAAATAAACAAAGTTTTTATTCACAAAAAGTGTTAGTTACTAACCTGGTCAGCTTCTAATTGTTTGTATTCAAATTGGGTGTGAAAAGAGAGTTTACCAAAAATGCTGACACTGGACAAGGACCCAAGAAAGAATACACATCTGCACAGCACAAAGAGGGAAGAAAAAAGTTTCTTGTACCCCATTTTCATGTCAGACCAAAGAATTCCAGTGTTGTGTCTCACAATCTTTAGGCTATCTACGTTAATGACTATTCCAAATAACATATACGAGGGAGAACCCCAACTTTTACGAAACTGTATTAAATGGACTTGCTCTGCCCTATAAACTTCTGTGAGATTACCATTGCCATACTGTCAAAATTTAGAAAAATTATCTGATTATGTGTTGCTACAGCTATATTTTAAATTATTTATTGATGAGTGAAATTAATAGAATTCTGACATCAGAAGATAACTCTTTAAAAATTTTGTTGATGTAGTTATATATGTTTCTTTCTTATTCAATGGAAATTAAATTTCTTTCAAACAGACTGTTATAGAATTGGTCTCCAGTGGAAACTGTGCACCTTTCTACTTGAAAAGTAAACCCTGTAAGTTGTTTCCATAGATACTGCACTTCCAAAATGTCTGTCTCATATATGTTACCATACTATAAGTTTTGACTGCAGTATGCTTATGCTTTGACATTCTATCATCTTAAGCTTATTTTCTGTCATTCTGTAAAGGGCAGTATTCAAAATAATAATGGAAACTGAATGAAATGGTTATAAAATGTAAATATTATGGGATTCCTCACCCACTATTCTATAAAAATGAACTGTACCAGAGTACACACACAGTTTGATAGCTTACATTGTAAGTGGCTGTTATCCAATAAATCAGACAGTGCAACATTTCATAATGCCTATAAAGATACAGGCAGTCATACTGTTCCCAACCGTAATGTGGTGAATTTACTCATGGCTTTCAGGACAGAAATTCCATATGATAAACATGTAAAAATCAAATCTTTGGCTGATGAAGGCTACTACATGCAACAGATTGAGGAAGAATTTCATATTTCAGTTGGAGTTGTATGTAAACTCTGAAGAGGGTATGTGAAACTAATACTGTTGGTAATAGAAGTGGCTGAGGTAGAAAGCCCAAACTTGTCAGAGTGATGTTAAGTAACTTAGTATATGCTGCTTCATAATACACCTCAGTGATAAGTAATTCAACCTTTAATGGTTCAGTAAAAACTACAATGAATTGATTATTTGAAATTTCACATTTATTCTAAACAACTGTTAGCTGGAACTAGCAACACTGCATGATAATGGTGGAGGTCAGATTGCAAGCTACTTTATTGAAACTATAGAAATCTTAGTTTACTCATCTGAGGTTCTGTTATATTGTTAGTAATGGTCTTCTGACCTTTCAATAGATTATATTACCAACTTCTAGGACTGAGTTTTACCATAGCACCTCAATGGCTTGTGACTTTTTATTGTAATTCATTTTTATTTACAGTATTCTCTGTATTTTATTAAGAGTAACTTCTTTCATATAACTGTTTGCAGATAGAAAATTTTAGCTTGGATGTGGAAATACCACTGCTCTTTAATTTTATGATCCAAGTTTATGTTAATTTTGTCCACATACTAGTCCTATAAATAGAGGCTAAATTTGATGGACACAGCATATCCCCACTCTTGTTGGTGTTAATTTTGCAAATTTCTTTAATTGCAGAATGTATTTTGTTATTATAACACTGAAAATTATGCATTGATTTCAATAGTTGTTGAAGGTATAGCACATAGGAAAAGGTCAAATTACAACCAACAATTTGTTTGAAATGTGGGAAGTAATACAGGATATTTAGAAGAAAAACAAGATGTAATGGTGGTTGCTGGTTTACTAGGAAAAGAACAACTACATCAAATATTTTTGAACGTAGATGAGTTAATAAGTTTCAGTGCTAAATTTGCTAAAGGATGCTATTGACATTGCCAGAGAACAAGGTGATGAGGACTATACAACAGTTAACATAGGGAAGTTATTTCTGGAGTCCACTGTCATGCTGCATGCTTTTGAAATGTACTGTGTTCAACAGGGTACATCATTGTTGTTGCTCCACAATCTGGAGAAGGAAAAGGAGCAGCTACGTATCTTCCTGAGAGTCTCTCAAATGGTAAATATTCTTCTTCGTTAAATGAACCTGTCTTCTTTCCTCATGGTCCCTGTCCAAAGAGTTACCAAATAACTGTTGCTCCTAACCTGTCTTTATAAAGTGACACCAATTCATCATTGAGGCAATAAAGGAAGCCAAACAAAAAGTGAAATTACACTTGGAACATATCAACCAGATGGTGCAGATGAGGTTCATTTCATAATGGCCAGTAAACTACAGTTCTAGCCAATGACAGGCATGCTGTGGAGCAAGAAGGGGAAGCCACAGAAGTTCCCTAAAGTTCATGCATTACTTATTATGTTAGGAAAGCCTAATTCTAAACCCGATCTGGCCAATGAAAACTCCATCTTGTTTCCAAGAAACACGGGAATAAAAAATTCCACGTTACTCCTGATGAAAGAAAAAAACGGACGGTTTGTACTAGTGAAGGATCTGATGCACCTTGGGAACTGTGTCATTAGCTCCAATACTGAAAATTATGAAACTTTCAAAGTCCAGGAATACACAACAAAAGAAACTTATTTTTTAAGGCTGATACAATGAAGGAGGCTGGTGAGTGGTTGAAACAGCTGCAATACCATGCAAAGAACCTTGGGACTTAGTGAAAACGAAGAAATGCTCTTGCAAAGATTATGTTAAAGGGAATGGTGATATAGTGATAACATTTCAACACTTTGTTGTATATAAACCAAGAACTTGAAATTAAAGGTTAAAATTTGAGATCATTCAATTGTATACCTAAATCAATGTGTGGAAATGTTAGAGCTGCACATTTTAACTATAATATTGCTATCATAAGAAAAGATAATTGTTGAGATGATGGGCAGATTGAGAGTGGTAACAATTCCAAGTACATGAAAAACTTAGATAATATACTATATTTTATTCAAAAAAGATAATCCAGAGTCTGAAAGAAAGAGATCCTTGGATGCAGTCCTCCTGAACAATTGAATAAGCTTTTCTCTCTATGGATAAAACCTGGTGTAATAAATACATTGTGTTGTTATTTTTTACCTCAAATGCTATAGATTATCTAGACATTTACAATAAAACAGAATTATAAGAATTGTATTTTTGATAACACTATTTTAAAATATAATTGTTATAAGTGTAATGTTCTCATGGTATATCATTCATCTAGTTGTATTATTGTTTTTATTTTCAAAATGTACATTATGTGAATGAACTTATCTATTTTACATAAAGGTTTTAGCACTTTTTTATACTTCTGATAATATAAGAAGAAAATCAAATTGATTATGCAGCTGTTTAATTTTGATAGAATAGCATATAAAATTCTATAGAAGATAAAAACATTAATTTATGAAACTGGTACACTGAAATATTTTCTCATAATATTTTTTTCATATGCTCATATATACTTGACTGACATTTTTCTAAATCTTTTTAATATGCTATTTTTAGTGGCAGGAAGATGTATTCCAGATATATTTCTGTCTTCTTCAGGAGAACCTGATGAGAAGTTGGCTAATAATATAGTCCAGGATATAAATGGCAAAAACGTGTCTGGTGATGAAATGAAGTTGGCAAAAGAGTATGTTATTTTTTGGGGAAATGCAAAAAATTATGTTGGGCATTTTCCAAATTAACCTTTTAGTAAATTTGTAGATACTGATGGAAAGTCCCATTCGTTTTGTTCAAGATGCAAAACATTCCAAATCATGCACCCTAATACATGATTTGTAAATGTTTGTTTTTTGTTTTTTTTACTATTACTGTGTTGACCTCAAGGTTACTTGTCAAACTTTTTTTTTGTGGAGATGTTATACAATGAAAAATTTACAAAATAAAAATTACATTCTTGTTTTATTAAGGTCAACTGCCTGCATAAACTTTAGTAAATCAAATTATTACACAGTTTTCACACACACTAAATTAATATGTAAAAGTGACCCTAATAAAATATTTATTGTACTATGCTATACATACCTTATATATCTTTAGCTATTATAAAATGAGCCTGTCCTAACATTTCAGAAATTGTAATTTAAATTGATCCAATTCATTTACTTTTAAACCATATGAAGCATGTCTTCCTTAATTTCCAAAAAAATATTTTCTTGTTAACCCAAGTGGTACAACATACAGAATACATTATGAAGGTTGTTACGATTTTTATATTAAAGAAACTGGAATAAATGTGGAAACTTGACCAAAATGTCATCTTCATATCGTCCTTCATGTGTTTTTATACACCACATAGAAAATGTAATATAATGGTAAATAATTCTAAGGTTATTACGATGTCCATTTTGGATTTACAATGCTAAAATCAGGGGTTTGATTCCCCATGGTGGACACAGCATATAGCCCGATGTGGCTTTGCTATAAGAAAACACACACACACACGTAAATTACGATACAAATATAGAAACTAAAGATCCAATTTGAATTGAAAAACTTAAGCCCCCCTGTTAGAAAAACCCTCCAGTTGTCATACTTTATTTTTTTAATACCTTCTCAAACAGATCCACTTACCTGTCTTTAACAATCAATGTATATAAACCCTTGCTGGTGGACCAGTCTTGTTCTGATGATATCTGTTTAACTCTGAGGAATCATCAACATGTATTTTGACTTCTTTTGTATCCCATTTCTAGGTTTGTTATACTTACCTGTTTCAAAAATTTGTGGGATACCTCCAAAATTTCAAATGCACTAATGTTACTTAGTGCTAACAACTAATGTCTAAGATTACAATTTAGGACTTTTAACATAGTAGTATTGTTTCCCACTCATATCTAGCTATTTGTAAGTTAATTAGCAATACAACATACAATGTTAAATTCCAATATCATGATTTAACTTGAGTTACTAAGTAAAAAGTAATTCAAATCTGTGATACTGAACTAGCTTTAAACATTGGAATTAAGTCACCTGTATAGTAAAATAGTTGATTAGTTGTACAGATTAAGCTTAAAAGCTTTTTCTAATTTTAAAGTAGTCTGAGATTTTTTTTGTCCAACACACATTATTTACTTCACATTCAATTCTTTCTCTTATTTTTCTGAAAAGTTTCCTCAAATCTGCTTTATTTACAAGAGCACAGAGTAAAGATAGTAAAAATTGCTAATTTGAGTTAATTTAGGCAGTAATAACAATTTATCATGAATATTTTTATATTTTATATCAACAAAACTAGTCATTACACATGTGTTTATACATTCTGTTTAACCTAACATTAAATAGTAAAAAACATTAATTTGAAAAAATTTAAATATCTGAGCTAAATCTGGACAGATTTTAAATGTTTGAAAGGCCTGGAACATTCTGCCAAATATGAAATCTTTCCATCAGAAAATATTTTTCTCTGTTTGGTTTGGTGTACTTTTGATATCTCAATTTTGGACTCTTTTTGCATTTTAGCTCCAAACATTACCTCTACTGAGATTTCTTGTTTATAGTTTTAAACCTTATTTCACTGAAGTGTGGGTTAGCTAAATATATTTCAAGAACAACGTAGTCAGCAAAATTTTAAATTTGTCGGTGTTTTTAGCTTAAGTTCTACTCCTTCATCACTTCACCAAGTAGTGCCTGAAAATAGACAATAAACAAAAATATATATATTGAATGATTTACATATTGACCAGAAAACTGACACTTACTTAAGCATTTTTAGAAGCTATTGGTCTGATAGTGTTAGTGGGAAGTGATTTTAAGATTTCACTATTACTGTGTAGCAACAGAAAACATCAACATTAGTCCCATTACACAGTCGGCAGCTTATTTTTGTATACAAGCTCTGATATTTTGTCTGTTCAATAAATATATACTATCGGTATTCATTCATAACAGAATACGATTAAGAATAATTATCCTGTTGTTTGTAATTTTCAGTATTACAGTGAATGGGTAGCAATAGAAAATGCCAGTATTATTCCTGTTACACAGCAGACAACTGATATTTGTATAGAGCTTTGTATTTTGCCGTTCAGTAAATATATACTCTCAATATTCATTCAGAACAGAATTAGATGAAAAATAATAATTCTCTTTTTACTATTTATAAAAAAAGAAGAGAGAGAGAGAGTGAGTACAGATAACATTAATTATCTCAAACCTTTATGTAAGTCAAAGAATACATTCCATTTAGACACTATATATAATTTTATCACCATAATGAAAACTAAAATGTAGACTATTTATTATATTAAGTTTTGATATGTAATTGACAGAACGAATCTAATTCTGAACTTTTATAGAGCTTTGTTTGATAAGTAAATTCTTTTGTTAGGTCTCTAGAAACAATGTTAAATGCCCGGGAAATTGGGGAGAAAATATTTCAAGACTTTACAGCAGGCTGGTGGCTAATGTTAGTGTAAGTATCTGCCTTAGTAATTAATATTAAAAGATTATGTTTAAAGCTTACAAGTTTCAAATGTATGTTACAATGAAGTTACAGGCCTTTTTGTTTGGGGGGGGGGGGACTAGTGTTCTCTACAGAGATTTGAAACATTTTGAATTACAGAAATATAAAGCATTTTCAGTATTCTAATCTTCCTATTAGAGCAGATAGAAATAAATTATCAACTGTGAAAAATCTAGCACACAAAAGAATAATAAATTATTCAACGCTACATGTTTTTAATTTATACATTTTAAATTTTAGAAATCCAAAAAGTTATTTTGTTCAGTTTTATTAGAATTTATCATTTATTTCTGTTCAGCAGAAGATTCTGAATGTTATTATGTGTTGGGACTTTGTTATCTGATATAGGCTGTAATGCTCATTTATACTTATATAATATAATTCAGTGAGAACAACAATGCTTATACTGTGTGTGTGGAGTATGCATTTATACAGTATGGTTAGTTATACGTATTGAAACAATTTCTTGTAAAATTTTGAACTGAATTTTTTAAAACTTAAAATTTGTAATTTTTAATATTTACATAAATGCAATAAATAATAAAATATGTACTATTCTATAATTATAAGAACAACAAAGCCTTGGTTTTACTTTTCAGATGTTTACTGATTTCATTGGTGGAAGCATTCTTGTGGATTCTGTTGATGAAATATTCTGCTGGTGTTATGGTGTGGGCTAGCTTATTCTGTATCACTGGATTGTTAACTTTTGGTAAGTGAAATATTAAATCAATTGTAAACTATTTATAGGTCATAAGAAAAAAACAAACCCAGCTAACATGATTTAATTTTGATATTTTTTAGATTGCTATTTATTTTCTTAACTTGCATATAGCTTATGGATTTTAATGAAAAGCAGTTGTTATAATACTTTTATTGTGATAAATCTATTAGCACTAAATCTTAAGTATTAACAGACATTTTGCATCATTCTGTCTGTAGTAGGTAAAAGTCTTGACTCATGTACGTACTATTACTGGTAGGGGAGAGGGATGTAATTAGAATTACAGTAGTTTTGTGATCCTCATATACATAGTATGTAGCTCAATTAGTATCTAAGGGATTTTAACAAATGTTTGTTTCATGGTATAAGTTCTAAGGTGAAAAACAGCACAACATAGATAACAACATCCATTGTTCTCTTGTATAGTAGATTTTGTATTTATTTAATTTTTCTGAGTTTTCATTTGGAACTTGTTAAATCTGGCTGACGTTATGTATCTGATGTGATGCTTTCTGTGATCAGTCCAGTCAAGGAATTTGTATATTGTTTCCTGGGATTGTTGTTTTACCTTGTATATATAGGGCTGCTTTGCAACTGTTACATAGAATAGATATTTAAGTCTTCCTATGCTTTATTTCTAATTGGTCAGCTACATAGAGAAGGTACTTTGTGATTGGAGTTTAGCTGCTTTCACGCTGGATTCTATCTGACTTAGCTCCAAGGAGACAAGTTTTATTTTTGCTTGAAGGACCCAAAATCTATTGTAAAGTCTTATCTGACTTTTCAACATTTCTTAGCCTGCTGATTGTATTATTTAATTACTTTACTTTTTACTTACAACATAATAGTTTTACTGCTGATTGATCAGCTTTATTGTTCAGTTTTTTTGTTTTAACTTGAAAATAAAGCATTTTTATTTCATAGTGTCTTCAACACCATGTGTTGTCTCTTTCAATTCACCTGTGACAAATCACTTGCTTGACTTCTTACAGTCAGATCTTCGAACCTCTGTTTTTTTGCAGAGGTCAGTGGCTGTTTGTGAGCTTTAAATATTCATGAATTTAAATTAATGTTGAAAAACTATTTCTAAGGTGTTCATGCATATTATTTGGACATATCCTATTTTTAGGAGAAGGTATCTACTACCATACTGAATTTGCTCACTGGCTTCCAAATATGTGATTTTAATTTTTTAATAAGTGTATATCATAGATGGCTTACATATATTTGTGGTATTATCAGATTAATTGTTAACATCTTATGCTATTGGCTCTTTACAAGATTGCTTGTTAGGAAGGAAATGATTATGTTGTACATACAGATATAAATGAGTTAACTCTAGGATAACGTGCTTGGTTCAGTTAATTACAGGAGGTTTGGTCAAGAATTCCTATTTTGAAGTAATGCTGTATCTCTGAATAACTGAATCATGAAAATAAATAATGTAAAGAGACTGGACACAAAGGAAACATGAAATGAACGATATTTATTAAAACGGACTTAACATATACACAATGTGTATACTTGCTTTTATGTACATGAGAATATCATTACTGTGTATTCTATCTTCAATTTGTTAAACTGAATCCATGTACTAGACTATCTAAATCCAATGTTCCTTAACCATGGGTGAAAATAGCAAAGGGACAAAGGTTGTTAGAATAAGATGAATTCTACAGCTTTCTCCATCATGTTTTATGTGAAAAATACACATATATGGAATAAAGAGTAAATTAAAAATAACTAATAATACAAGAAGGTATAATAATATGGTGTATTCATGTAACACAATTACAGTTTTTTATGATGTTTCTACCACTCGTGTCGCCATCATCTGGTATCTCAGACACACTTATAGGTGTCTTACCATATCATAGCTATGTAACCAAAAAATATCATAAACATTTGGAAACAAGCATCAAAAACAAAATAAACAGCAAAGTTATTTTTATTTAAAAATTGAGCACTAAAATCAAAGGTCATCTAAGGAAGATTTATTCTGACAATTTCAATGACAGGAGCTTCTACAAGTATCAGTGAGATAGCAGTTATGTAGATGAAACGGGACACGACATAAGCATTAGGATCAAAGAACATAATCCCCTATCACACATTTATGAATGCAGCACAATGAATCAACACCCAATTAATATTAACAATTTTGAAATATAAGAAACAATAATTGTTCATGAATTAAAACCTAATTTATATCAAAACACAGGTGTTATCCTATATGTTTTTTAAATTGGAACAAAATGCTTGTGTAGTATTTCAGTAAAGACACTGACCTAATAATGGCCACACAAGTGGTCAAAATGTCATAAAAAAGTTAAATAAAAATAAACAGTCTGCTCAAAAGCTATATCTTTGGACTTTTATGCTTAGGAATAGGTTAAATGGAAGACTTAAAAATTTGTACATTAGAAAAGCAGGTGGAAAACATGCCTGCAGAACATGTAATATTAAAGAGGCACTGTAGCCCGTTTTTAACATACAGGACATATTAACTCACATTTACTTCATTGAAAAATTTTTGTCTTCACTATCTGATAATAAACATGGCAGTACAATGAAATTAAAAATATATAGTTATTTTGTAATTCAGCAATACCAAAAACTTTAAAATCATGTATTATGACAAGAGCAAATCACCATTTTTATATGTTTTTTAAGTAATGACAATGTTTTTCTGTAAAAATAGTTTAATTATTGTTATTGCTTTTGATGCTAATGAAGATTAATTTGCATTATTAACTAAGTACGTGGAGTAAAAACTAACCTGAATCTCCTAAACTGGCCAAATATAGCATATGAGGTATTACCAGGTTTATGTTTTTTGTTTGTTTTAGAGCAAAGCCACATTGAGCTATCTGCTGAGTACACCCCAGTTAATTGAACTCTGAATTTTAGCATTGTAAGTCCATACCACTGTCCCACTAGGGGACTTAGGTTTATGGCAGAAAGCTTAATTGCATTATGTATTGCTCTTCTTTTTGAATATTACTTACACGTGTTATGCACCATTTAAAAGGATAAGGATATGATGAATAACTCTTTCTATGCTAGTACCTTATTTTTTAGTTCAATGGTCAAATTTGTGCAAAGGTACATCTCCCTTCTTATAGCCATTGCCTTTTTTTTTGTCTCTAAGCAAGAGATCTTGTAATATGGTGCTCTTATATCTATACCTGATACTCTTAATGCGGTTGTTCTTTTAAGAAGCATCATAAAATAAAAGGTTTATATCTTATTACATACATTTTACAAGCAAGAATTACTTGAAAAAAGTCCAAGAAAAGTGAAGTAATATAAAATGTGGTTGTAGACTTTTCTAATGTGATTTGATATTACAAAAGTTTTGTTTTGTGGATAATAAATAATTTTCTTCACAACTAGATAAAAATTCACAAGTTGATAAAAATGCTGCCTAAAAAATAAGTTTATATTTGAAAAAACACCTCACACACACACATTTACAGTACTTGACCCATCTTTGTATTGTCTTATACTGATAATATGTAATGTTAGTAATCTTGTACACCATTAAAAGTATGATTCTTGAACATGATATCTGACACAAGTATATACAACGAATAGTATTTGTTTGGAATGTTGCATTTTCTGATTATTATAAATAAGAGCCAATATTTAGATCACTTTTTTGCTTTGATATAATGGCTATTTAAGTTATATTAAACAGTTTATTTTCACCACTTCAAATAAATAAATATAAAACCTGATAAAAATCAGTCTTGAAGTTAAACAGGTTAAGCTGTAAAGCATTTAGAGGTTAAGGTGTGTGTGTCTATACATATGTTAAAACTTTAATGACCAGAAATTAAGGTTTGCTTTTATTATATGATGATATAGTCCATAGGTAAGAGAATCCTAACTTTTAGAGATCGCTTTAGTTCTTTGTTTCAAGTATCAGTCAAACAGTATTGTTATATTTTAAAAGTCCTAGGTTATATCTTAACTTATGAAAACCGAAATCATATTTTTGTAACTGTAATATTCTTATTATGGAAGCTAGAAATGTAGCTTATTCACTTAATTATATTCAGAAAGTCCTTTTTGTATTATATTTTAACAACATTTTAAATGTTTTGATAATCGAATAATGTTAAACTATCACTTCAAACACAAACCAGTGGAATTCCAGTATTAGTATTAGTATTTTAACCTGAATTAGTATTTTAATCCCATGAAGGAAGAAAATAAGTCAACAGTTTTCACTGCTTAATATTCAGCTACTCTAAATAGCAGTATTGACTGTCACAATTATAAAGCCTGCACACTGAAAGGGTGTGGGGCATTTTTACTGGATACTATTACTCAAACCTTGGACCTTTCAATGCACAGCCTAGCACTATAGCTACTAGGTCATCTCTAACTATCCAGTATTGGATTACTGTTATTGGAAAATCTCTAAAACTTGAAGAGTTGTGCCTTTTGTTTTTAATTTTTAAGCCAATTTATAGATCACTCAAGTGTTTAAATTAGGGTTTGTTTTGTTTGGCAAAAAAAGCTTAAATTTAAATTCATCATCATCTGATACTATGTAAGCCTAGGATCTGTCTGTGTAGAAAGCTCTCCATCTGCTCCTCTTTTCATAGACCCTCTGCTTACCTATCTCACACAGCATAGTCCCCTTACACACTACCACTTGTTAACTAAGGTAAAAAAAAAAATAGTACTTAATAGTAGGGATCATGATGAAACAATATGGCTGCCATAAAAATCGCCTGTTTAAAACCATCTTTAAAATATTTGAATATTAGCAATGACTATTTAATAGTATTGGCTGGACAAAACTAAAGCTTATTGTACTTATAAAGCCACCTAATCACCATATACATGTTTATGGAGTGAATCAAAATTTCACTATTTCATCGAATTTTCATCTAAGTAAATAAGTAAGTGACTTCTCCAGACAAGCATACAGAAAAAATGATGAACTTTATCACTCTAATTCTTTCACAGAACTCTTCCATTTGGGGTCCCAGTGATTCCTTTCTTGTACCGAAAGAAGGCTACTATTGTGTATGTATACATGAAGTGGACGATACGCTACTTAGGGCATATAATTAGATTGGAGGGTAGGTTCGTAGAGATCCTGATGAGTAATAAAATTAGGTCGGGTATATGCACACTCCATGCTTGGTATTGCTGGCACACAAAAATATAGCTAATAAAAAGGAAACAAACAAGTATAATAAAAAATGTTACATTTTATAAAGAGAAGTAGGTATTCTTATATACATAGTTACTTAAAAAGTTATTGAGTTACTTAAAATTAGGCTCGGCATGGCCAGGTGGTTAGGGCGCTCGACTCGCAATCTGATGGTCGTGGGTTCGAATCCCCGTCCCACCAAACATGCTTGCCCTTTCAGCCTTGGGGGCATTATAATGTGATGGTCAATCCCACTATTCTTTGGTAACAGAGTAGCCCAAGAGTTGGCAGTGGGTGGTGATGACTAGCTGCCTTCCCTCTAGTCTTACACTGCTAAATTAGGGACGGCTAGCACAGATAGCCCTCGTGTAGCTTTGCGCAAAATTCAAAACAAATAAACAAATACTTAAAATTTAAAGAAAATTATCCCTGCTTTGGCTCAGACTAACATAATTACAGTGACTTGCCAAAGTAGGGATAAATGTTTTTAAACTTTAAGTAACTCAGTTTTTTAGTTTTGACTTTCTTGTTTCAGTACTTTTTGTAGCATTAAAACTTTTTATATTACTATATCTAGCTAGGTTATGTATATATTGATCCTTACTTGTCTTTACAAAATTAAAAAACTTTTTGTTATACTTGTTATTATAATTTTAAATTTGAGGCTGTACTATAACAACTCACAACTTCATAATATTTATTTTCAACTCTGTAAGACTTAGGTATTTTATAAATACTCTATTATCAAGCTTAATGGATATATTACCCTTAGTCATTTAAAGAAAACAAAAAAGTGAATATAAAACTCAGTATGGCAAGAAAAAACTGTAAATGCTTCACTTTCTGTGTTTCAGTATGCTATTACAGTATAAACAAGTATCTAGAACTAAGTGATTCTACAGAGTCATATGCTGCTTTCACTTTCACAACCAACATGAAGTCTTATCTAGCCCTACGGAAGACTTGGTTGGCCATTGGTAGGTACTTGTTTTAGTAATATTTTGTATGTGCCTTTTAAATTCAAGAATTGGATTGGCTGAGAGAGTTTTGTACTGTAACTTATTGATTTTTTATCACATACATAAATGAATTAGATTATAGTCAAGATTCATGCTGGATATTATAATCCATTAAACTTTACAAAATCAGCAGTGTTCTCAACCAAAAAATTTTTTTATCTCCATGTATATCATAGCAGTGGGCAAGAGTGTCAGTTTTTAGTCAAGGTTACATACAATTTGGGGATGAGATGATGAATGAAGCAATTAGTTGAATAGATATATGCAGTAGTTGGTTATCAGAATTGAACTCTTTGGTAGGCTTTGTAAATTCATTGTGAACTAATGATAAAAAGTACATGAAGACTCATTTGAAATATAAAAAAAACCATCATATTCTACTGGGAGATTTATTGTAAATGTTACATCCATGCAAGATGGAAAGATGTTAACTTTAATGTTGTATAAATTGTAGTAATAATACATTAATTTAATTTACTAGTAGCACTGCAAGTGAATTTCAAATAATTGTCAGAAAAGTGCTTTTTATGAAATCCCTAAAAGGAGATAGTAACATATTTGTAACTTTAAATCAGGTGATTGAGAAATAATAAGAATACAAAGAGTAATGAATAATAGTAGCTATAATAGTAAAATAATATACATGTAAAGATGACTTGAAACAAAAAAAATCAACAGGTGGATATACAAGTACATTGGTAGGCAAATAGAAAGAGAAATAAATATGGGCACAGTTCATTGTGTATGATATTTCTGTCTATAAGCTTGGTTATTCAAAAGGTTAATGAATTAATAATCCACTGTTATATTTGTGTTAGTTCTGGTTATTATGAAGATGTATTATAAACTTCAGTACAGTTGTATATGTATTAATATTATATATTGTTTTAATTACCATACCAAAAATGAAAGAGATTTGTAAGACAATGTTTTTAATCTTTTCAGCCCTAATTTCAGGAATAGTTTTGCTGATACTACTACTGGTGGTCATTTCTCTTCGTACACGTATTAGGATCGCCATTTCATTGATTAAAGAAAGTAGTAGGTAGGAGATCAGTTCTGTACGTGTTTGCATGCTGTGTCTAAATGTAGGTGAGAAACGTGGTCTAAAGTAGATATTTACAATGAGAAGGTACATGTATATGTAAAAGGGACCCCAATGACACAGCGGTATGTCTGCAGACTTACAATGCTAGAAACTGGGTTTCGATACCCATGGTGGGCAGAGCCAAAATAGCCCACTGCGTAACTTTGTGCCTAATTACAAACAAATATGCAAAAGTAATATATTTGAAAGTGTACTGTAATGTATTTTGAAATTCTTAACCATAAAATTAGTTTTTAAGTAAAAAAATGAGATTTGTTGCTAAAAATTATTATATCTATTCTAAAATTAAGATATCTGAGTTTTGCTTAATACATTTTCTAACATTTACGTATATATATATATATTACATGTGTGAAATATATTCTTCAGGATTTGTCAGAAGTATTTTTAATTACATCTAAATGCATGTATTTAAAGAACTTTATATTTCCAAAATGTATTTTGGAATATGTAGTGAATTCTACTAATTAATAGTGAACAACTAGATTTTGTTGAAATACAATTTTTATGACTGATTTTAAATATTGTAAGCTTATTTCTACCAAAGTGTAACTAAAGTATATTTGCAAAATTTTCTGTTTTTTAACAGAGTTTCTAAAAACTAAAACTCAGCTCATTATCTTCAGTGAATTATGAAAGTTTTGTGTTTGATCTTTCTCCAACTCACAGTTTTACCTCAGGAACTATTCACTGATGAGGTACATACACTCATCACAAGTTGAACTTGTTAGCGAAAAATAATTGGAATAGTCTGAGATTCTTGTTTGGTCATAATGAGTGGTTTAATAAATTAGCTTATTATTTTATTAGAGAAATTAAAGAATTTTGTTTATTACTTAAATTTAATTATAATATAACAAGTTTAATTTAGATAAACTGTAGACAAAATTATGTATACCCTTACAATATGCATACGAGTTTCAAGACTTGTAGGTATTAAAGTTTTCAGTTATAGTCATCTGATAATTCTTTCTTTTTCAGTACAACTTTATACAAAGATTTACTGAACACTTTGAATGCTCACTATGTTTATGTATGTGTATATAGAAAGTGTTGAGTATGTTATATTAAAATGATTTTGAAATCTCACTGTGTCATTGCTGTCCATGTTATTGCAAAAAGCTCCATCATCAGGCTGTCCTGTCCAAAACACATTATATCCTCCTTGCTTTCTATAATCCATGTAGTGTTGGAGGACAGTGATTTACCAGTGCCTGTTTCAACAGTCTGATTGCACAAATATCCATAGGCATTGTGTCTGGCAACTTGACTTGTATGTTTTTGTATGGAATAGAATGAACGCTTGTTTCATTTCCTAGCTCCTTGAGGTATTTGATAGTTGAACAATAGGTATGACTGGAAACCTTATCTTATTGAACCTATATCTTATTGGTCTATTTTCCAGACTGAGATCCTTCTTGGTGATGTTGCATACTGTTGCCTGGGGTGCACATGGATGGCTTTTGACACAGACCTGTGCAATTGTGTATTCTCACATGTTACCACTTTGCTTACCATGGCTGGGGTATAGGCATGCATACATAAAATTTACTTACAGAGGCCAGTCCCAACTGAATCACGTTATCAATGAAAAGATGAATTTTCAGCTAATAAAATTTGAGGGATCTTTAATTTATTTCTATCAAGATATCATGATGAGAGAGGGAAATGAGAAAATGGAAACTTTATTAGAAAAAAACTTTAAAATGTTTTGTCTTATTGATTCTGTCTTTCAGTTGTAGGTAAACTGGCAGCTGGTGCTAACATATAAATATTGCAATTGTAGTTTCCTGGGGTGTTTTTTGGGCAAACCTTCTAAAACTTCTACTGTATATCCTAATGGATATTCAGCCAAATAAATCTATTAAATCTCTCTCCTGTCATAGTAGAATGTTACTATTCTTCACACATCTTAAAGTTTAAAATGATCTCTCTGTAAAACAGTTAGTAATTAATATTACAGAGTTGATGTGCAAAATAATTTTGGAGTGAAAACCATTTAAAGCATGCACAAATTCTCTTATTGCAGTTGAAAGGCACTTTGCCTCTTTCTTCCATAACTGACTCCTCAAAGCAATTTCCACATGAAGTTCTGGTAAAGACCCGGGCAAGTTGATTTCATATTTTGAAGTCGCACTAATTAAGTTTCATTATTGTCACTTGATTAGGCTGGAATCAAGATACAGAAATTTACAGTATCCTGATAATCATTTTGAGAAAACTTTAATGATAGTTCACTTACAACATGACCAAAAAAAGGTAAATAAACATTCAAATGAAAATATTTCTTTGGTTCTGATATTACTACATTTAGTCTATATATTTGACTGGGCACTACTCAAGCAACTGTAGTATCTAGATCATGAACTTTTGCAAAATCTATAGCTCTTTTATAAATTCTATCATAGTAGGACAAAGTGTTTTGACATTCTTTCAACATTTTTGACTATACAGTAGTACAGCTGCAGATCTGTTTCAGGGCTTTGCAGCTGATGTGGTATCAAAACTGTGAGACTAAATGCAGTAACAAGAATTTGCAGTGTTATTGCCAATTCAAATCTCAAGACAGAGTTAAATAAGCTTGCAGTTTTTGGTGAATGTTTTTCATCATCAATAATTTTCAAAAAAGCAACAATAGCATCCAAAATATGCAAAAGTGCATCATGCTGTTCAACCCATTATGTTTTACACAATACCTTAATCTTAACAGTTTTTTTTTCCCTCTTGGTAAAGTTCAGGTATTTTTTCTTTCATCAGATCTGTGCTTTTACTAGATTCTCTAACAAAATTTGCAATATTAGGTATGGTTCCAAATGCATTCCTTGCACACTAGATGGAACATGCTTTTGAAAGTGATACATACAAGTATGAGAGGCACAGTACATATAGGCAGCCAACAGCTATTTTTGTAGGATACAAGCTTGCAAACTTGAAATCTGCCCCAACATATTAACTCCACCATCATACCCTTGTGTCCCAATGGTATTCAGTACTAAATCTAAAATCCAACAGTTCTTGCAACAGTAAGTTTGACAATCCTTATTTGCTAAGATCTATAAAATTTACAAAATGAAGGAATTCTTTGCAAATGTTCATAAAATTCTGGTCTAAAACTTTGCATACAAGCTCATTTGTTCTGAAGTACTTACATCTGTTGTTACAATGGCTAAAACTGAAAAGTATTTTCCTCTATTGACAATCTTGATGATTTTTTAAAGAATTCTTTCTCCAAAGATTTTAATTAATTTGTTCCATGTGGCCTTGCTTATAAAAGGTGAATTTTTTAGGGGTACTTTTGAAGTGATTCTCCAGTACCTTGTCACCAGGGTCTATACGAAATTTCCATAATGAACGAATGTTTCCTACATTTGGATTACAATCTCCATCAATATTTAGTTCCCTGTTATTATGGTAACCTTTTAAACAAAGGTTTAGACAACCACAAAAAATTTACATTGTAATTATAAGAGCTAAACACTCAGTTCTGGGCAGTTTTCCTTTTTAATTTATTATGTATTCTTACCTTGATGCTTTGGGTTTGGCCTGCATAATTTTATTTTAATTTAGTGCACTTAAACATGGGCATTTTATGGTAAGAATTATCAGAGCATGTCCAAACGATTTCCAAATCTTATTTGTAGTTTTTGAAGAGGTTATTAATTAGAGCATCAATTAAATTTTACTCTTACGTCCTCCTTTTGAAGAAAACAGAATTCGTGCCCAACAGCATGCATCTTGATCCTTTTCAGTGAAAGACATATTCCTCCAACATTTTTGTTGAAATTGTCAAGTGTGGCCAGACTGGAGTTGAAATGAGAATGTATAGTTTGATAAAGGAGTCATTGGATTGGTTAATGGTTGATATCTCTCCTCAATGTCAAGTTGTGTGCACGAACAAAAATTTCTTGTCTTACTTATTTTTCCATCTTAAAATGAGTTGTTTCTTCCATAGTTTGTAGACATTTCATTGACACTGCATAAAGCAGAAGCACTGTAGCTGTGCTTTTCATTAATAGTAGACTTTTTCATTTTATCACCAGAATCACTATCTCCCATTAATATACTATCAAAACAACTTTTTTGTCCCCACTGCCCATGTTTCTCTCTTTTCACAAATAATAACAAAGTCAACTGTATTTTATGTTTAGACATTTTAAAACCTACAAATCTTTACTCAGAATTTATATAGAAATGACTCCACATACTTCAGCTCTTTGCAGTTTACCAATTATGTAAACACAAAATGGTACGAGTCAATATATATAGATATATATATATGTAAAGCACTTGTTGTGATATAGTTTTTACCTCTTTTCACAAGATTAGCTATGCTCATTCAGTGCTGCTCTCTATATGCAAACCTTGCTTGACGCATGCCACAAGCCTTGTGCCTCCCCCCCCCCCCCTTGTTGGAATTATTGTATTTCAACATGTCTCCCATGCAAATCGTCATGCGCTATCTCTTAATGAATAGTAGCACAACATGCTCACATGATGCATGTGACTCCCTCTACTGAACCTTCACTTCTTGTTTGGCATCATTTGAGTTTAGACATCTTCTTTTGTGTGCTTAGTGCTTCCAGTGTGACAAGCAAATTTTTTTTTCTGCATGAAGTGGATCCTTTTTTTTATGTATCAGTTAATTCTTGTTGCTATATTTCTGCACTCAACAATTTGTGAACATTTTTCTGAGTTATGAATTCTGAAGTTCACATTACCACTTTGGGGGTCACACCACCGACCAGTGTTCTTTCTCAGGCCTCAGGTGTGGGTGACTTGACGGTGGATCTTTCTGCTTTCATATGTTAGGAGATTGAATGCTACATGGGTCAACCTTTGTTCCCTGACATCGCCCAAGCTTCTCCTGAATCAGTGGACATTATCCAAAATGACGAGGATTTTGATTGTCTTTTCCCACTTCCAGAGTTTGCCATAGA